GCCAGCTTTTGGTTTCATTGATTCTGTTATTTTTCTGTTCTCTATTTTGTCTCTTTCAACTCCAGTCTTATATTTTCCTTTCTTCAGCTCTTCTTTTTCTAGTTCCTTAAGGTCTAATGTTAGGTTATTCGTATAAGAGCTTTGTTCTTTTTTAATGTAAATATTTTCTGCTATAAATTATCCTGAGTACTGCTTTTGCTGGATCTTGGTATGTTACATTCTTGTTTTTGTTCATATGTAAGTTATTTCTAAATTCTCTGTGGTTTTTTATTTAACCTGAGTGTATTGTAGAAATCCACACATGTGAGTTTTTCAGTTTTTCTTCTTATTGATTTCTAGCTTCATTCTGTTGTGATCAGAGAAAACTTCCTATGTACATATATATACATACATATATACATATATATACATATATATACACATACATATATATATGTATATATATGAGTTCACTCTTTCTAAATTTGTTGAGACATATTTTGTGTTCTAGCATGTGATCTATTGAGAATGATGAGTACAGTGTACTATATTTGTCTTATGTTTTGTTCATGTTCTATATTCCCTATTGGTCTGTCTCATTCTGTATAATATCAAAAATGGAGCATTGAAATTCTCAACTATATTGTAGCACCGTCTATTTTTCTGTTCATTTATATCAGGCTTTGCTTCACAGATCTTGTGGCTCTGGTATGAGGTATATTCACACACACGTATGTTTTTTAATTATTATATCTTCTTGATGGTTTGACCCTTTTTTCAATATATAATCTCCTTTAAATGTGACACCAAGTAAGTGAATACTTCATGCTGTGTGGCATCTGGTACAAGGAAAAATAATTAATAACCTTCTGTTAGTCAACTTCCTTTGCTATAACAAAATGCCTGAGATCATTAACTTATAAAGAGAATAAGTTTATTTTGGTTCTTGGATTTAGAGGTTCTAGTCCATGATCAGCTGGACCCATTGCTTTTAGTCATAAGGTATCAGTGCTGAACCACAGAGCAAACTGCTCTCCTCATGGCCAGAAAAGAAAAGAAGGAGGTGGAGTCCCATGGTTCCCTTTAGGGAGTCCCGCCTCCTAAAGGTCCACAGATCCTCATTGGAAACTCTAGGTTCTCCTCTAAGTTCCCCCTCTTGAAGGTCCACAGTACAAGATTGTACAAGAGTACAATCCATGGGTCTTTGGAGGGCACTCATCATCTTGACTGTAGTAAACCTCTGGTAGGTGAAGTCAGCATGTGAGATGAAACTTACTTAAAATTCTTTTATTGGCATGAATCCCAACAAATGTTACAGGTATTACACCAGAAAGAATTCCATGCTTATACAGGCTTTTTGAAATGTTGAACAAAACAAAGCTTCATGTGTCCAAGAGGCCTTGCTTGTTTTTGATTCACTTGTTTATTTTGGGAGATCGAAATAATCATCACAGTAGCAACTCTTTTTGTGGCATTTACAGTGTAAGCACTCTAGTACCCTATCCCACTAGTGCTTAAAGCATATTCTACTCGGTTCCGAACTGCACTTTGTGTAGAAAAGGATTGTTAATTTCCGTAGTCAGGGAAGTTGGGGTAACATGACATAACATGGTCCCCTCTTAGAGAGTCACAATTATTAAAGGCTTTGAGCCGTGCTTTAACAAGTAATATGTAAAACTTCATTCAGCATTTAAGAAATATGTTTGACTATGACTTTCCTTTTTGGTGTTATACTTAATTATTATCTCTTAGAACTAGTCTTGAGCCAAGGAATCACAGGTAAATTCAAATTCTGCGTTTCCAGTTGGTAGAGGCTTCCAAGAGTGCTGAGTGAGCAGGGTTCTGAAACTCTGCTGAGCTCAGCCAGAAAAAGTTCAGTGATTGGCCAGCCATGGGCAAGGGGGCATGGGGCTGGAGGCAGTGGGTACAGTAAAGTCCTGTCCTTGCTGTTCCTGTGCTATCCTAGCAATTAAAATCCAGTACCACATGGGCTCTGTGACATAATTAACTTGTATGTGGCTTATCAAGTGGTTTCAGTGACAAACTGATTTTATGATAAAACTTCAACTTAAACATAATCTGGTGAAAATGAGTGTATTATCTTTTTGGTTAATGGTGGTTACCACAGGTTATCTTTCAAATTTACCTGTTTCTAAAATGTTCCAGTCTGTTTTTCTTCCAAACAGTTTATTCCATGTAGAATGTTACAGAGTTTATTGTCGGGACCATTATACGGATGGCTCATTGTGCATAGATGTAGATTAACTCTGTCTTTACCACCAGATTCATGCTTATTTTTAATCTTTGACAATTTATGTGTTTTTTAATGTCATTTATTTTTCCTTAAAGTTAAGTAAGTCTATAAAAATTTCTAAGCTTTGCTTGAGATTTGATTCAACCTCCATTTATTTTTATTTATATACTCAATTTGTTTGATTGATTCACGGTCTCTCTCAGTAGCCCAGGCTAGTCTCAAGCTCACTAACTTCCAGCCTCCCCTTCCTGAGATCTGGGTGTGTGCCACCACACCTGGCTCAACTTCTATTTTAATATGATGTATACAATTTTCATGTCCGTATATTAGGCTTCTCAAAAACAAACAAAAAAATTGGAAAAGTTTTTTTTAACACTGACTATTCAGAATTAAAATACAATTCTAGATCTAGATTAAGACTTATTATCAAACCTGACAAGACCAGGTTCTAGGTTTGTTCTTGCCAGCTTCTTGGAAGCCTGCAAACAGTCTTCGTCTTATTGTTGTTGAGAGTTAGTGCTAATTGAATTTTCTGACAAATATTTTTATTTTACAACATTTTGTTTCTTTGAGTCTTGTGTTGTCCTGTCACACAGAGTAAAGAAATTGTCCTATTAAGAGGAGCATTTAATAGCAGTTGTTATCAATGGTGATTTTCTTTCTTGATCAGATGTAAGTTGAAGTTACAGCAGAAAACGATGTCTCTGTGGTCCTGGGTCAATCGGCCCAGCGAGTTGAGTAAGTTCACCAATCCTCTCTTCGAAGCTAACAACCTTGTCATCTGGCCTTCAGTTGCTCCACAGAGTCTTCAGCTGTGGGAAGGTAACTCCCCCCATCCCCACCCTGACCTTTTATTCACTCTCAGCTATGTTCTCAGCTAAGTATTAATACTGATTTCCATATTGAAGAATAATATAGAATAAATAATCATGTAATAGAAGAAATAACACAGGCCACTTAATCTTTAAGCTTTTGGCTCTCCATATCTGTGGATTCCACCTGTATGATTCAACCAACTGTGGATTGAAACTATTTTTAAAAAATTGCATCTGTACTCTGCATGTACAGATTTTTTCCTTTTCATTATTCTAAACAATATTCCCTTGCCAGTACTCCCTAAACAACCATTTATATAGCACTTACATTGTATTAGGAAGGATAAGTAATCTAGAGATGATTTAAACATACCGGAGGATGTGTGTGCCATCCCCTGGAATGCCAACTGTATGTCCATTAGTCCATAATAGAAGGGTAATTATTAATTGAGGAGAGAAACAATAGCCTATGGAGTTGGAAGGCTGCCTGTCATAATGGGGGTGTGAAGCACATGTATATTACTGAATGTAAGGTTTAAACAACACCTTGTGTGGCTTCTGCTTTTATGAAAGGTAACTCACCTTTCAGTGAAAGTGGTTTCATGTGTGAAGGAGATCAGTAATTATAAAAATAAATGATTGCTGCTGTGAAACTGGAAAATTTATAGCATTGTAAATTATAAACTTATTTCCTGAATATGTCACAGAACAGCATTTTATCTATTTGATAATTAATAAGCATATACACAAACTGATAAGTTGTTGGATATTGTATTTCACTTAATTCTTTCAGTACCTCAAGATTCCTGTGTATTTTATTTTTTGGTAGTACTAGGGTTTGAATTCAGGGCTTTGTGCTTACAAAGCAGGTGTTCTACCACTTGAGCTCTACCATACCTCCAGTCTATTTTGTTCTGGTTATTTTGAAGATGGGGTCTCTCGAATTGTTTGCCCAGGCTGACATAGGACCATGATCATCCCAATCTCAGCCTCCCAATTATAGTCATGAGTCCCCAGTACCCAGCGATTTCTTGTGTATTTTAGACTATAATAAAATACAATGTGAGCTGGGTGTGGTAGTTATGCCTATAGTCCCAGCTACTTGGGAGGCTGAGGCAGGAGGATCATGAGTTTGAGGTTAGCTTAGGCAACTTAATGAGACCTTGTTTCAAAATTAAAAAATTAAAAAGGGATATAGCTCAGTGATAGAGTTCTTGCCTAGGATGCACAACTAGATTCAGTCCTCAGTACTCCCGCCACAGAAAAAAAGGTAAGAAAAAAAGGAAGAAATGTACAGTATAATATATGGAATTACATACTATCTAGTAACATGATTTTGATCTCCTTTCTGTTTTTTGCTCATGAATTAAACAGGCATTTTCCTACGTTGGAACAGACCCTCTAAGTATCTGGATGAAGCATATGAAGAAATGGTTAACATCATTCAATATAACAAGGAATTACAAGCAAAAGTCAATATCCTGAGGAGGCAGTTGGCCGAACTGGAAACCGAAGACGGGCTACGGGAGAGTCCCTGAAAGATCTTCCCACTCGTCTTCAGGACCTTCCTTCCCAGGCCTGAGTTTGCCTCTGTCCTTTTGCCCTTAAGTTCACTTGTACACAGTAGCCTTGAACTTAAGGCTTTAGACGTGGGATCCCTCTAATGCCATGGCTTTGTCAATGCTGTAGGAACGAAACTCACTAAAATCACACATATTTTATGTGGCCCAATAGGCCTTTTGCTTTGGGAGCAAGAAGGAGGTGCTAGTCATTTCATCATATGTGATACAAGTGACTGATTTAATGCTCTCCTCTGTGCCCACCTTGCAAACAATGCCCCAGACCAGTTGAGGACACAGCCTCTTTAGGGAATATTTGGTAATTTTAAAAAAGGCTTTTAAGCACTCCAATTACAGAAATGTTTTTCAAAACTGAAATGGTTGATAAAACAAGAATTCTCTGTTTAACATCCCAGTTCCTTTATCTTTGCCACGTAAAAACCATTCTCTTTGAAACAGTTTTGGACTAACAAAGCTGAGTTTACTCTCATTCTAGTTTATCAAGAAGGGAAATTTGGAACAGTTATGCAAGGTAAATTCTTTCTACAAGGGTAACAGGTATGGTCCTCTGATATCTACATTAAGAGAAGTTAAATTTATTTTAAGAGTGGACACTAAAAGTATGTGCAATATAATATTGAAGTAGGAATTGTTACTGATAGAGAACTGTTACTGTTGAATTGGTTTTTCAGGCCTTTGACCATACATAAAAATGTGTATCCATGGCTGGATGTAAAATTAAACCATCACTTAGAATAGGGTTAATTTGTTAGAATTAAGCTACAGATATGGTTTCCTTAAACCAGAGATGCACTGCCCTTGTCCAAAGTTCTTATTGCACTGGTGTGTTTTAAGTGTTGTAAGCATTTACTAATACTAAGGTTGTTTCTTATTGGCTTGAGTCATTTGCAGATTTATCTTGACTATTGATTTGTCCATTATATTAGGCAAATACAATTTTTAACTGGAGGGAGGAATTTATGAATATGATGCAGCTCTGTGTTTTAAGCTTCAGAAACAGTTTTGAAATTTCTCAGTGTTATAGAAACAGTAGTGGCTATATTCAGTTTGTTTATCCCTACAGCTCTAAATGTTTGTACTTCTATATTTTCCAGGTCTGTTTCTATCTCATGGCACTGTTCATTCTCATAAATACTGTCTCTTCTGGTTTTCCTTTAAATGGAGAGTTGAAGATTATCTTTAATATAATTTCCATGGTGTCTGTATATAACCATTTCAGTGTATAGCACAACAGACTGACCCTCCTTGAGAGTTACGTAGTGAGGTCAAAACATAACCTGAAAATCAACTGTAGCAGAATCTTTGGTCACATTCAGAAACCTTAGGAAATGGCAAGTGCTTTCTTTCTCCAGTTGCCCAAACTTCCTCTTTTTTTCTCCTTCCTCAAACTTGTAGCAAGAGACTAGGGAATAATCAATAGTCCATATACTTTTACTAAATTTGGCTGCCTTCTTCTCTAAGCTGTTTCATTCTTGACTTATTTTCTTGGTAGAATTCATGAATCCTAGGACACTAATGCCCTCATCAAAAAAGTAGTGGAGTATAAGAGGTATTCTATCTTGCTGTAGATATTTGTGTTCTGTGAAACGTCCATTTTAGTTTTGAAACAGAAGACATAGCCTACCTTTTTCATGGCATCTCAGAATTGGTTACTGTGTTGGTTTGTGCAGCTGACATTTTATTTTCTTCTGTTTTTGTCTCAACATATGAAGAAGGATCCCTTTTCTTCTTAATTAACAGGGCCATAAGGAAAACCATCAAGAGATTTTTTTTTCCCCCCTCAGTGATTCTTTAGTTTTGATCAGCTATAAGGCTTCTGTGGGTGGAAACACTGAAGGGAGTTTTTATTATTAGGCTTGGTCATGGAGAAATCGGATTCCATCAGTTTTATACCTGTCTTCCTGGTGAACATTTCTTTTTCCTATTGAGAGAGCAGTCATCACTGTTCTGACAAGCTTGCATTGTAGTGTTAATTTTTAAATAGGGATTATCTAAACTTCAGATCTGCTTGCAAGCTGTAAAAACAAACTTTGGTAATCAGTACACTTTCAAAAGGGTCATTTAATAACGCAAATATTAAGACCATTCCCAGACTTGAGAATTCTATCAAAAACAAGTACATTATCAAAATCATTTAAAGAGGAGTTTTAGTAATACTATTCAGTTATGCTTCCTTTGGGTGAGAATAAGTAAAAACTGGTAATAAGAAGATATTTGTTAGGTATTAGGTTTGGAAGGTTGTTTTTGGTGAATGTGACTTTACAGACTTGCATGAAGAGAACAGTGGTGGAACTAGTGAGCAAGCAAATGCCCTCCATGAGCCGATAATAATCAAGTGAGAAACAATCAATTCATGTTCATCAGTCATCTTCTCTATGTGTTTAGAACGAAGGCTGGCTTACATTTGGGGGAAAAATACAAAGGATCTTTATCCTTCTTTGCAAACCATACAGGGATTCTTAGATGTAAATTAATTTATTTTTTAAATCAGAGGAACGTAGCTACTTGATTATATAAAAAACCTAAAGTGTTTTGGTGACATGCCTTTTCAGTAAGTGTTTGGTCCAAACCTTTTATCTTCTTAAATGGGAAGAAAAGCAGAAGTAGTAAAATTCAATAGGCTTAAAACAATATATAAATATATTTTATTTCTAAGAAAAATTAGGCTGTCAAAACAATATACAGTGATTTTTTAACAGACTTGGGAAAACAATAGGAAAATATTAGTTGGGAATCCCATATGGAGGATTTAAAGACTTGTCTTTGTACTTTGAGGCCTGACTTTTAGAGGTGGAAACACATTGCTTTCATTTCAAAAGATGAAGTTTTGTGGAATTTTAGTCTTTGAATTAGTCAGTATTTGGTTTATGTTAAGTAAAAAGTCAATATCGTGGGGAAGATTTGACCAGTAGTTTAAGTCTCCTGAAGTGAAAAATGGGAGTAAACATTTTGCTGCATTTTGAAAAATCTGCTTAAGGACATCCTTCTGATAGATCTCTGGTGTCAGAACAGCAGTCAATCTTAAGTAGGTCTTTAGACTCACTATCAGACTTTGATCTGAAGCAGAGGTTTTGTTTGCCCACTTCTGGGTTTAAGGAGTAAAAACTACATGAGGACACCATGTGTGCTCCTATTAGAAATGCATTTCCTGGGCAGAGGATGGGCACTGTTTAGAATAGGTTACCCCTGTTCTGGAAGCACTCAACTTTACCAGCAAATGAAGTCACTCAGGACATCTGGCTGGCACAGGCTCGTGCCATACTTCAAGACAGCTTAGATTAGTTACTTCTTATTCTTTAACATGAAGAAAACCAGCTGGTATTTTAAGTTATTACCAGATAGTATTTTTATGTTTTTCACCATCTGAACAAAGAACATTAACTGGCTCATGCCTGTAATCCTAGCTACTCAGGAGGCAGACATTAGCAGGATCAAGGTTTGAAGTCAGCCCAGACAAATAGTTTGAAAGTACACATCACAAAAAGGGCTGGTGGAGTGGCTCAAGGTGTAGGCCCTGAGTGCAAACCCCAGTACTGCAAATAAATAAATAAAAATTTAAAAAAAGATTTCTCCCTTTATGTTTACTCTTAGATGATATGAATTGCTAAATTTCTTTTCTAGTGTCAGTTTTCTAATTTTTCCTTTCCTTAAATAAAACTACTTTCCACTCAGTCTTTCTAACCAACTGTCCACAGCATCTTCTTTCTTTAAACCTAGAGTCCCAGAAGAGATCCTCTGAAGTGGTAGGGCTAGGTTTTACATTTTTTGAATTTTTATCTAAATCGTCTTTTAGGAAATCTGATGCCCTGTCTCTTGAATAACACTGCAGAGCAATAGTTAGTGCTCAATTTAGTGAAAGATAATGGCACTCACTATAGACACTACATTGTCCTGATAAGAGCTGACTGACTTTTAGAGCCATTTTGTTTAACCATCTGCAAGTCTAAGGGTTTAACCATGTTTGTGATTTGTAAGAATGAGTTGTGCAACCCTGCCTGTGTCTGTGGGGCAGAAACATTGGTTTCAATTTTGACGTGCATATACCTTGGGGAGGTGAATTAGTCCAGTTCACACAAGTACACCCTCAATCCCATTGTTTTGAGTTCTTACAGACCTACTATCATCCACAATAAAAATACTGTACTTGCACAACTTAGTTTATATATTTTAAAAAGTATGTATTTCTTCAATAGCCGGGTATCTGGATTATACTCTTGATATATTTGAATGTGATTCTTGGATTTAAGTGCACTATTATTCATGTCTTACACAATAAAATTGCACTGTATGGCAAATATGTCTATAATGTATGCTTTGCTAAAACCTCAGAGTGCTGTAAGGTACAGGTTTTTATATTGTGAACCTGTCTGTATATATAGATATATATAGTCTTAGGGAAAAAATCCTGAACTTTTGTAAGTCTGTAACATTTTAATATTATTTGTAATGTTCACTAAGTAGTAAGTTCACTTATGTCCTTTTACTGGAATCAGCCACCTGGAGTTGGCTGGTTTGTCAAACTTGGTTTACAAAATTGAGAAACAGTCTCGTCAAATGTGGTACTGCTCCTGGTGTGTAATGTGTACATGTGGTATTTCTCCCTCTGTCTCAGAGGACTGTTGTGCAGATGCTAGCGTCAAATTTCTATAGACAATGGTAATAAAATTTGAAAATATTCACATGCTGATAAACTAAATCTGTAGACTGATTCTCATTTTTTGAAATATTTGTGAGGGTTTTGACAGTGCTTCCATTAAAACTGCTATGTATTTTTTATCATATATTTTAAAAACATTGAGATCTATAAGAAAGTTGCAAATAGTACAACAGTCTCCCATATACAGTCACCTACATTGAATGATTGATAAAGTTTCCCACATTTTAATTTTTCAGTGTGTGTATTATTACTATTGCTATTTGCTGAAATATGTGTAAGCTGTAGACATCATGACCCTTCTAAATACTTAACAGGTTATTTCCCCAAAATTAGGAGTATGTATTGTATATACCATTTACTGAGTATGCATATTACTACATATTATAAATAAATTAATGAGGGAAAAGGGAAACCAGTTCCTTAGAGTAAAATGCCAGTTATTAAATCTAAAGTCACTATATGGCAGACCATCACAGTGATAATTGGTTTAGGCAGTATCATCAATGAATGCTAAAATCAGCAGGTGAAAGTCTGTAGGAACAGAATACAGTCTTAAAGTATCTTCCCACAAAGCACTTACTCATTACAAAGGGGAAAATAGTGACATTACAGCAAAGGAACCCAGCAGATAGTGCATAATTCAAGCAAAACCTGACATCACTAGTTATGAAACCTACCATGATCATGTGCCTTCTGATACAGTCCACTTACAACATAGCATCAATTTTTTGGGAAAAAGAACACAAACCGAATCCAATTATGAGAAAGCTGTAAGCAAAACTAAACACAAAATAAGTGGTCTGTATTCTTAAATAAAGACAAGCTTTTGAAAGAGAAGAAAATACTGATAAGCTCTTCATGAATCTGAAATTGTTTCAGGTAGTTAACTAAAGCCCAAACTACTGAAAATAGCAGATGACATCATACAGCAGATATGTCACACAGATGACATCATTTACATTAAAGGAAAATGTAAGTCAAAATGTTTCAGCTGATGAAAATCATCTTCCCACTAAGTGAAACATTAAGCAGAAGAAAACTCCACACATAGTCTAAATGAAGTATCTACAAACAGACACTTTCATATATGAAAAAAAAATCTCAAAGGAGAAAATGCAAATCTCAGAACAAAAATAAATCAAAAAAGTTGGGGAGAGGGAATACGAAATAAGAGTTAAGTGAACTCAGGAAAGAATTTGAGGGTAAAGACAAAATCATCTTAAGGATAAAATTACAAGTGCCCACTGAAGAATAGGTTCGACTACAGTTTTATTAAATGGAATTGGTGAAAAGCCAAGAGGGTAAAAATAAAAATAAGCAAAAATGTCAGAGAGACGGTGAGTGATGTAGAGGAAAGAGAGTCAGCATATGAATATTGGAGTGCCTGGTGAATGATGAAATAATAACAATACTTAAACCTGTCATCAAAGAAGTTTCCAGAACTAAAAGTTTGAGTAAAATTGGACCTAGATTGGTCAACTCCAAGACATATCCTAGTAAAACCACTCGACTTTAATATGAAAAAGGAAAAAAATCTCTAGTGCCTCTGGCCAAAAAAGTCACATTAAAATCAGGTTGCTATTAGAGTTCTTAATATACAAAGTAAGACAAAGAGAACACAATTTTCAAGGAATAAAAACAAAGTATGAGACAAGGATTTTACATTCAGCCAGACTATACTTTAAAAAAATCAAACTTAAAAAAAAAGAGAATTCCAAGATGGCAGCTAGAGGGAGGAAGCAGAAAGCGTGTCTCCTAAAGTAAAGTCTTGGAGAGACACTGGAGATTCACCTAACAGGAAAAACCACCGAGAAGAGGCAAAACTTTGACCCCTCCAGACCTCCAGCCTGCACATAGCATCTCCACTTCACATTAAATGGAGAAACCAGGAAGGCTCCCACGCCGCCGCCAAACGGCAGTGCCCAAACAACTTGGGAAGATGCGGACCACAAGGTGAGCTAAGCGGTACGTGGTACTCACACAGACAACCCTGGGCCAGAGCAGCATAGCTCTCTGGACAGACCAACCCCACCCAGGGAAAAAAAGAGAAACTGACTAATAAGCAACAACAACAAAAAAGACAGGTAGCAAAGAGGGTGGGGCACCCTGAGCGCCGAGGATTGGGGGAGGGGAATCCCTCCCGGAACTGTAAACAAACAATCTGGCTGGAGAAGGCAGGAGCAGCACACGCCCAGCAACCAGGAGTGGAAAGCTTGTAAAAGTAGCAGTGGGAGGAAAACTCCACAGGAGAGTGGGGAAGACCCACTTCCCATGTGAGCTGTAAACAGACATGCAGGCCTGAGAAAGCGGGTGCAGTGTCACCTTTCCCAGTGCTTGGAAAGGGGAAAAATTGTAGCAGAGGCAGTCATGCCCAGGAGAACTCAAAGTAAACAAAGCCTGCAGGGCCAGGTGAGTGCTAAGCTCACCCCAGAGATCTGCATAAATAACACCTCCAGCAACAGCAGGCTGACAGCAGTGGGCAGGTGAGCCACAGCCTCAGATAGCCATTCACAGACCTGTCTCCAGACTCTTTTTTTTCTCTCTCCCTACCTTTGATGAGACAACAACCGAACTACACCTGCATGCTGAAAAACTTACTGAAACGGTATGCATTGAACTTGGGACAACTTTGTGGGTTTTTTTTGTTTGTGCAGTTTTGTTTTATTTTGGTTTTCCAGTTTTTCCCCTTTGATGAGACAATCACAGAACACTTCTGAGGCACCATCTCCAGGATTGGAGGCTGAGGATGAACACCAAAATTATTAAGACTGAAACTTTATTGCATTTGAACTTGGAGATTTTTTTTATTATATATTTTTTTTCATTTTTCTTTTTATTTTTATTTTGATTTATTTTATTTTTTTATTTTCAATCCTCTCTCTGTCTCTCTTGCCTTTCAGCTTACAGTTGATTAGTACACTGTTTCCCTGTTTATATCTTTGAAACTTTTTTTTCTTTGTTTTGTTTTTTTCTCTTGTTTTTTTCTCCCTTTTCCTTTAACTTCTTTGCTTTCCATCTCCTCTCACCCTTCCATTCTAAATATCACCAGTGCTATTATTACAAGCTAGAAAATACTGTAATTGCACACAGTACAGGGACAATAACAACACCAAGGGCAAATGGGAACAGAAAAAACAGGAAACCAGTTCCCCACAGCAAAAAATTAGTACAGGAACCAGAGGAAATGAAGAAAACAGATACTCAGATCCAGACTCCAACAAAATGAAGATAAACTATGCCAAAGAACCCAATAAAGCCCACAAGGATAATCTAAAAGAAGACATACTACAGGTAATCAATGAGAATTTTATAGAGATGATACTGGATAGGGTCAACCAAAAGTACAGGAGACACTCAAGAAATTCCAAGACAACAAAAATAGAGAATTTGAAAAAGCAAAATAATAAATAAAGGAAACCATAGAAATACTGTATAAACACCAAAGTGAAACAAAGAACACGATTAATAAAGAGATAAATGAACTCAGGACAAAAATAGACAACACTAAAGAGGAAACCACCCAGGATATGGAAAACCTCAGAAAAAAGAACAAAACAGAATTGCAAAACAAAACGGAAGGCCAATCCAGCAGACTAGAACAGAGGACAGAATCTCAGAACTCAAAGATGACATGGTAATTAAAGGAAAAACTGAGGAACTATTAGTTAATCAACTCAAGACCTGTGAAAAGAAAATACAAGAACTAACTGATTCCATCAAAAGACCAAACTTGAGAATCATGGGCATTGAAGAAGGAGAAGAGGTGCAAACAATAATAACAGAAAAGTTTCCAAATCTAGA